ATCCCGGAGCCGTCCGCAAGATGGGAGCATCGCCCCGCAGCTCCGCACCGCACCGGCCGGGCTGCCACGGCGGCACGCAGGGGCTCCGCACCCCCCCGGCTGCAGAGTGCTCCCCCTTCCCCAACTCCCGGAATAATCCCCAGGAGCACGAAGAGCAGCCTGCTCGAGTTTCATCAGCACGGATGGGAAATAGCTAATTATCTAGGCAGCGTTCACCCCTCTCCTTGCACCCATCTCGGGAAAAGCCCGAGCAATTAATTCCCACCTGCCATTTTCCTGCCCCAGCCAGGATCACCAACGCTAAACTGCAGCAAAGACATTATTAGAAAACATGCAGAGGTGCCAGCCTGGCAGGACCGTTCCCCTCCAAGCCATTCTCACCCATCCCAGGATTTCCCAGGCTGGCAGCTCCTTCTATCAGCATCATGGCAACAGGATCGTCACCGTGGCTTTGGGAAGGTGCCTGGGCTCTGGTGGAGATGCCCCAGGCACTCCCCCAAAAGCCAGGGAGAGGAGGCAGGCCAGCCAGCAAAGTTTGGGGGTACCCCCACCCATCCACAGCCAGCCCTGGCTCTGTCCTTACCCACACTGCTCTCAGATACTCCTCCAGACCCTCTAAAAAATCTGTTTTATAGTGCATGAAGCGGTGCCTCCCTGAACTGCCCGAGCTGTGCCAGGATCCTGCCTTCTGACAGGGAAAAGTTAACCCCTAGGGTTCCAGGCCCATTTAGCCCCATGAGGAACTTAGGGAAACACACCCTTCCCTCCCAGCCACCATGCTAAAAAAAAGGCTCAAAAGAAAGAAAAAGCTCCCAAAATAAACTCCGAGGCAGTGATCACATCAGCCTTTCCATTGGGAACCCCCTGGCCCTGGCAGGGGTGCCCCCAGCCCCCTGCTGCCTGCAGGAGGGGCTCTGGAGCCGGGCAGGGCTCTACGCTCTGAGCCAGAGCAATGCAAAAGCAACCCAGGGCTCAGGAGGGGCCTGGCCCTGCTGTGTTTGTGCTCTAGTGAGAGATGACTTCAGCATTTAAAGGTCAAACAGGGTCCAGGAGAGAGAGATTGCACAAAGCCTTCCTCCGCTGCCTGCGCCTGCCAGCTCCAGGGGTGCAGAGTCCACACAGGGCTGGGGAGACAGCAGGCGGGGGTCAGAACCCCCCAAGGTGGAGCCCCCCAGAAAGGACCAGGCGGATTTGCCCCAAGCAACTTTTTGAGTTGCATCAGGAGAAAGGATGGCTGGATGCCAGCAAGAGAAAGACTCCCGCCTCTGCACCAAACACCCAGCCATGCTCCCGGCGCTGCTTGCTGCCTCCCCACACACTCTCCTGGGGAGCAGCGGCGACACGGAGGCTGGGCAAACACAATGAGCCCAGTAAGCGAGAGCAGGAGCTCGGCAGAAGGCTTTAATAATTCAGAGAGGATGGGGAGCGTGACAAAGCAGGTCATCTCAACCACCACACGTGCCCGTCCCCAGCAGGCAGCGATGCCCCGGGGCTGCGGGTCCCCCCTGCCTGCAAACTCCTCTCCAGGCTTTGATCATGGGGAGTTTTCCTTGGCCCAGTCTCCGGGTGTGACTGCAATTCCAATGGGCTCTGAAGTGACCTGGTTGTGGGTGCTGGGGAGGTAGAACAGCCCCACAACCTTGGTGCATGCATGGCGGTGCTCCCACACCAGCCCTGTCCCCAGCATCCCATCTCTCTGACGTTTCCAAGCCTGCCTCCCACCATCCCGCAGAGACTGTTGAGGGATTTCATTTCACCGTCGGCACCCACACCCACTCCAGAAATGTTTTGGCCTAGGCTGGATGAAAACAGCAGAAAAGAGCTCATCCAGCCCAGCACAGCCAGCTGAGCAGCTCCTCCAGCCCCGAGCGCTGTTTTGCGGGTCCCGGTGCTGAGGTTTGCAGGACCTGAGCCAGGCTGGCAATGCCGTGGGGTGCAGTGCGTCCTGCCCCTCCACCCCGTACGAGCTGGGGGAAGGCTGGGTCCACACACCCTGTGATTCTGGAGCATCCTGAGAGCAAAAGGCAGCTCTGGGGAGTGTGGGCAGGACCTGTCTGGCAGCGCAGGATTCGTCCCCATGGTCTGCCAAGACCGAGATACGGCACAGGATTAGGACTGGGGAAAATTGCTGCCTCCATCTGGAGAGGGGAGGTGCCAGGGCCTTGGGGTTTCACTGGGAAGCTTCCCAGTGGCCCTGAGCTCAGCCGCATACTTGTCATTCCTGGAGGGTTTGCTGGGGTGGCTGTGGCCTCGCCGGAGCCTTGCAAGGGGGCAGCGGGACAGTGCAGTGCTTCGCCAGAGTGAGGAGAAACACCCAGCCAGGGAGAGCCGAGGCTGCAGTCACCACGTCCACAGCAGCAGCTCAGGGAGCGAATTCATGTCTCGGGGACCCCACTAAAAGCCCTTCCCCTGCAATGGGGAGAGCCGTGTCAAAGGCACAGCCTCTGCCTGGCCCAACAAGCCGTGCCGGTGCTTGGGGAAACTGAGGCACGAGTGGTGAGCCTTCACCCTTTTGCTCCGGCACACGCCATTCAGACACACAGACTCAGCAGGGGAAGAGGCCAGGTGACAGAAGCATCACCCCAACATGGTCAAGGCATCCTTGGGCAGGGATGTGGTCAGTACCCAGTGAAGCGCTCTGAGCAGGAACGTGCTCCAGAATGGGCTGGGGAAGAGGGGAGAGGTGCTGGAGGCATCCCCGGGAGATTACAGCCTCTCTCCCTGTCCCCCAGCTGCGGGAAGGCACCACAGCTGCCATCACCCGCCACGTGCTGAGCGCCGAGGACGAGGACTCCCTGGCGGAGGAGGTGACCTACTCCATCCAGCCCCCGGCCAATGGGAAGGTGGTCCTGAGGTCGGCACCTGGCGCTGAGGTCCGGCAGTTCACCCAAGCCCAGATCAACAATGGCCTCGTCCTCTTCACGCACCAAGGTAGGGCAGGGCTGAGGGACCCCGTCGACCCCACACCACCCCCAGCCTTGGGGAGGGGACACCACCAGAGGGGAGCACTGTGCCACCAAGGAGGATGCTAACCGCACCGCACAGCACCCCAGCCCAAACCATGGTGGGTTAACGGGGTCTGCAGCCCCTTGTGCCCCCCGTAAATACCCAGCCCTATGCTCTCTGCAGGACCCCTGGACGGGGGCTTCGCCTTTGACTTGTGGGATGGCGAGAACCTGTCTCCTGGGCACTTCTTCCTCGTCAGGGCCCAGAGAGAGCCCGTTGTCAGCCCGGCCAAGAGGCAGAGCCTCACTGTCTGCCCAGGTGGGTGCAGTCATGTTCCCCATCCCCACAGCCCACCGGCACACGTGGCCCTGGGACCCTCCCACCACCCCCTGCCCAAGTGCTGCCGAGAGACACTGGTGGCAGGGGCTGGGGGTGGGTGGCGATGGGCTGAAGCCCATGCTGGACATGTTCTCCAGGTGCCCTGCATCCCCTCAGCAGCCAGAACCTGCAGGCAGCGAGCCACAGCCCCGCTGGCCCCACCGCCCTGCACTACCGCGTGGAGCAAGCCCCGCGCCTGGGCAGGCTGAGCACCGCCCGGGGCGAGGAGATCCGCAACTTCACCCAGGCCCAGGTGAGCTTTGGCCACCACAGCATCCTGAGTCACAGCCCCCAATCACCCCGGGGAGTCCAGCCAGAGCCCACCGTCACCACGGGCAGGGGCACTGCATCCCTGGCGGGAGACAGACCAAGGCAACAGCCTCCCCCCCCTGCCAATGGCTACTAAGAGGGATTACGAGCTGCCGCCCCAACAGCGGCTTTGCCACGGCCGCCAGCCTTGGATTTAGCGCTGGGGAAGGCTCAGCGAGTTCTAATCCCCTTTTCTTCAGCTGCAGACCCAGCCTGGCTGCTGCCCAGGGCAAGAGCCAACTGTGATGCTTTCACCCCAGCTCCGAGCTGATCTGTGCTCCCACATTTCGCCTTTGCAGCAAGCTCAGCCCTTCCTCTGAGCCTCACCCTCTCTGGGTATTTATTTTGCCATTTAGAAGAACCAATTGAGGTTTTGTTTTGTTTCTTAATTTTATTTTTAGGTGGACAGCGCGTTGATTTTCTACCAGCACGAGATGCCAGAGGAGCCTTTCTGGCTCACCCAAGATGCCATCCGCTTCCGCGTGGTCTCTCCCACTGCCGTCTCCGACTCCTTCACCCTCCTCGTGCTGATCTCCTTCGAGGCCAAGTGTCCCCAGCGCTCGACTCAGCTATGGAGAAATGCAGGTGAAGAAGGAAGGGACAAACAAGGGACAAACAAGCCCTCCTGAAGTTTGCACAATCGCCCCTTCACAAACTTCAGGAGGGCTTGCTTGTTTGAAGATGACACCACCACGCAATCTCCCATGGCCACAATTCTTTCCTTGATCATCTCACCAGACCAACAAGTCCCAATTGATTCTCATCCCTCTCCATTTTTTTTGCAACCTTCCTTTTCCTGTTACATCTTGCTCTCATCTGGGGCCTGCTCTCCTTTCCTCTGGCTCTTTCTTTCTCTGACTTTCGGTTTTTCCCTTTTTTTCCACCTCCCAGGTCTCCAGCTTGCAAGGGCTCAACGGGCTGAGATCACCACCTCAGTACTGGATGCCTCCAACCTCCTAAGCCAAATCCCGGTCCCCGAGAGAGCTGCCCATGACGTTGTCTTCCTGGTGACAGCGCTGCCAGCTCACGGGCAGCTCTTGGTGGCTGGTGTGCCCCTGGAGAGCTTCCAGCCATTCTTCCTGCAGTCAGACCTGGCCGCAGGACACCTGGCGTACACCCACGGTGGAGATGGCATCTCTGAAGACCATTTCAGGTTCAAGGCTTGGCTGCGGCCCCGGGAGCAGCAGTCCCTCCATCCTCCGCAGGAAGGGGTGGTCATCTCTGAAGCTTTCAACATCACAGGGACTGGCAGCAGCAGCAAGCCGCCGCAGGTGGTGAAGCGGCAAGAAGTGCTGCGGGTCCCACCAGGCACCGTGGTGACCTTGTCCCAGGAACACCTGGATGTGGCTGACTCCTTGGGTTCCCCAGAGGAGCTGGTGTACAGCGTCCTCCAGAGACCCCTTGCTGGCCACCTGGCCGATGCGCGCAGTCCACGGGAGCCCATCAGCCGCTTCACCCAAGCGGATGTCAATGCGGGCCGCGTGGTGTTTGTTGCCACCAGGAGCCGTGCCCCAGGGTCCATAGCCCTGAGCCTCTCCGACGGCCACCACCCACCCACCACAACCTCGCTGGAGATTGAGGTGCTGTCCGTGGTGAGCACCGCTGGTGAGCCCCGCTGCCAGCCCGGTGCTGCTGGAGGTGCCCCAGGACCGGAACAGGGCCCCCCTGTCCCAGCATCACCTCCTGGGAGCTGCACCGCTGGGGACAGGCAACACCCTGTACAGGATCACCAGGAACCCGCGGTTCGGCCAAGTGCAGGTCAACCAAAAGCCGTCTCCTCGGGGCTTCTCGCAGAAGCAGCTGGACCGCGGGGAGGTGACGTTCACCTTCACCGACCTCACCTCTCCTGAGGACACCTTCCAGTTCCTTGCTGTGTCGCGGGCGGCCAACCAGACCGGGACGGTGAACGTGAGCGTCCGTGCCGTGGTGAAGGCTCGGCCAGGCAGCGTGTGGCCCAGGGGCACCACGGCTCTCCTGGACACCGGCGTTCTCGACGCCAGCGAGCTGGCCAACCACACCAAGAGCGTCCCAGTCTTCAAGATCCGCAGGGCGCCCCGTGGCAGCCGTCTCGTGAGGGTCTCCAGGAACCCAGGACAGCCCACCACCCCCATCGAGAGCTTCAGCCAGAGTGAGCTGGAGCAAGGGCTGGTTGGCCTGGAGGTGCTGGAGGCTGGGGAGGCTGATGAGCCCCGGCAGAATGACAGCTTCATCTTTGAGCTGGTGGCTGCCGGAGTGCCACCAGGGCTGGCATCCCTGGGGTACACCATTGAGCCCTACAACGCCTCCAAAGCCTACGGCGTGACACTGCTCAGGGCCCCTCCGGCACCCTCGCCCCCGGCACCCCAGGGCACAGCACAGAGCAGCTCCAATGCCAGTGAGCTGGGGATGGCCTCCAGCGCCTGGCCGAGCCCCGGTGCCACCACCAGCCCTGTGGAGGGGGGAACCTTCCTCAGCTTCATCGAGGCCAACATGTTCAGCATCATCATCCCCATCTGCCTCATCTTCCTCCTGCTGGCACTCATCCTGCCCCTGCTCTTCTACCTGCACAAGCGCAACAAGACGGGGAAGCCGTCCAGGGCACCCCCTCCTCCAAGGCCAAGAACGGGGCTGTGCCGGACCAGGAGACCTTCCGCAGGACGGACCCCAACCAAGGCATCCCCCTAACGACTGTCAACACCCTGGACAGCAAGGGCACAGGGCCCCCACCCCAGGGCACGGGTCCTGGAGCACCCCCAGACCCCGAGCTCCTCCAGTACTGCCGGACTTCCAACCCCCCCTTGAAAAACAACCAGTACTGGGTGTGAAGGCCTCGGGCGTGGGGGCACGAGACCATCTGGGGGTCCAGACCTTCCCAGAGCACTGCCAGCCACCTCCTCCCGGCTCTCCTCCTCCTCATCCCTGGGAGCTGGCATCCCGTGGGTGCAGGGGGACCCTGGGGATATGGGGGCTGCCGGTCCG